CAGCTCACTTTCTGCACTTTTTGACAATTAGGCATGTTCAGGGTAAAGAGTCTCGTAGAGTATTTCTCTTCCTCCAAAACCGACATAGCCATTTATCTTTAATTCTCTATTTGTCATCAAGCATTAAACTAATTGTGTTTTTAGCTCGTTGGAATAGAAGATAGTTCGTAAAAAACTCAAATAATCCCACAAAAGAGGAACTTTAAACAAAAAAAAAAAACCGAAAAAGAGTAATATTTTACCTTCCCAGCAACCAAATAGACAATTTTAATTAAACCCAAGTGTCAAAAGTTAAAAGTTGTACACAACCGCCTGCATATACCTGATTTGTTTCTCAAAAGCAATAAAAAATTGAAGCCATGGTCCTTCTTGTTATATATTAGTTTTATATTAATGGTAGAACAATCATTTTGTTTATCTGCTTGTAAGACTATTTAATTTTTTATTTTTTTTTTGGTTAAATTCATCATTACCACCCAATATTATACTTAGTGTCACCATGGTTATCCAATTTGATTTTGTTTCATTATAACCGTCTAACTTTATATTTGTATCGCTATGACTACCAAATTTCATATAATATTTCTCCATAGCCAACCAACTTCTTTTTATCATTTTCACTAATTTGAGATGAGGTCAAATAGTAACTTTACATTATATGTATAAAATAATTTAAGAAAAATAAAATAAAAACTTACTTTAAAAAAAATAAAATAAAAACTTATTAAAAAAAGTTGCTTAAAAAAATAAAACAAAATAAAAACTTATTTTTTAAAAAAATGTTACTTAAAAAATAAAAAAAATTGAAATTGAAAATTTATTTTTAAAAAAAATAAAATAAATAAAATGTTACTTAGAAAAATAAAATAAAAAATTTATTTAAAAAAAAGTTCTTTAAAAAAAATAAGATGAAAATTTATTTAAAAAATATTTTTAAAATAAAATAAAAACTTATTTTAAAAAGAGTTTACTTGAAAAAATAAAAAATAAAAACTTATTATAAAAGAACATTTTAAAAATAAAAAACACTTTTATTTTTGTAAATTTATTATATATATAATGCAAGGTTACCATTTTACCCTTTTTAAAATTAGTAAAAATTATGAAAAGAAGTTAGGTGGCCAGAGTGAAATGTTATTTTAAATTAAGTAGTCATAGTGAAATAAAATCAAATTGGATGGCTATGGTGACAACTAAATATAAAGTTGGATAGCTATGATAAAACAAAATTAAATCAGGTGGCCATAATGATACTAACTATAAAGTTGGATGACTAATGATGAATTTAACTCTTCTTTTTCTTATATATTCATTCATTCAATTTATCAAGAAATCCTAATCTCCTTTTGTTTCCCTTTCTATATTTTTTATATTATTGATTTAACACTTCTTACTCATCTGCGCTTCACAAACTGGCATCTTGTATAATTTAGTTCCATCTTCAATATCGCAACAAAATAAACTTTGAGCAGTTTCAGATTTTTCTGCAGTCTTCAAAACAATAGAAATTACAATTCTGCAACTGATCAAACTTCTGCACTTCTTATTAATTGAATTCCCTTTTTATCCCAAATCTTCCCCCATCTGTGAAGTTGGAAACCTTGGCCGTATTTGGACTTCTTGAAGTTAAACTAATCAAACTATAAATGGATGAAAAATCAAAATTAGTATCAACTTATCATTCGGAAGTATGACAGGAAGCCTGAACTGATCTCAAAATGATGATATTAATCGATTTCGCCGATAAGAGAGGAAAAGCAGACGACGGTAATGGGTTTCAACAAAAACAGAAAGAGAGGAATTGGCGGAAAAAAAAAGTGTCAATAAATTTGATCATTGATTAATTTTGATTTATTTTAATTTAATTGGTGGATCACTAATTAATTTTGATTTTTAATATAATTGTCAACTAAACACGATGCTTAAGGGATCAAAATTGTATCCATACGTATAGCCTACTTAACATAAGTTAAGCACGGTATTTTTTAATAATTGTGCAAGATAGGCCAAGGAAACCGCCAACATTCTATTCACAACTATATTCTCAAGGAATCTGTCCATATTACTTGCAGTAAATTCTACTGTCGTGGTCCACACTTTTTTCATATAGTATCGAACAATCAGGAAATAGCTGTCAAAGAATGAAGGTAATACAACTATATTGTTAATAGTGGAGCTATAATTTTTAGTTTGGGGCTCAACAATTGTTCGACAATGCTATGATAATCAATGATCGGTGATGTAGCAGTAGCTAATAAATAGAGTGACATTTGAAGTAAACAATAAATGTATTGAAATTGAAAAAGAATAAAACATTTGTATATATTGTCAACTTTATACGTACAAAATGAGCTTGTGCATCTCATATGAGGAAAATTTAATGAAATTATGTTAAAAAGAACTAGATATGCATATGAAGCTTAAGGAAGGAAATTGAAAACTTCAATTTTAATGGTTGGGTCCAATTTTCACATAGGTCCTCAAGGTTAGGGATGATTTGAAACATTGCTCCTCGATTAAATGTAAAAACTTTACAATTAGAGTATTAAAGAATTTAATATTTTATAAGTAAAATATGTTTGTTTAATTGTGTTTGATTTTTGAATTTAACTACAAAAAAGATATGGAGAAACTCTGGGAGTCTGGCATCCCTCGGGACCCTGTTGGCTCCAAAACTTTGCTAAATGCAAATTACATATGGTCATCGGCATTCACGACAAGCTCAATTAAATTACTGCTTGTTCATATTCAAATTGATTAATGAACAATGGAGTTAATTTCCAAAATTTCATAAAATATGAACAGTTTCAAGGAAAAAAATCATTAAATTGACATAATAATATAATAAAGGACAATTGGCACAAAACATCCATACCTTTTAAATTTATTGTGGAAAACGTTATTATCTTTCATTTTTTGACTTTTTGCCCCTATCTTTCATCTTTCTTTGCGATGGACGTCCTTTTTATCAATTTTTAATGTATAATGATCAATATACCATTCTATTTAAATAAAACAAAAAAAGAAAGGAAAAATAAATAATAAATTCCAACTATAGGCCCAAGCTTTTAAAAAGTACAAATTAGTCCATATAAATTATAAATATATTTAAAAAAAAAAAAAAAGAACTCTCTCTCTCTCCCCCCCGCCCTCTTCCCTCCTTTATCTAGCTATGATTTTCAGCACATTCTGGCCACCATGGCCACTGGACTATAGTACCAATTTGTAGCCCTTACTGCATTCTGCACAACTCACTCAACAGTTGGCCCGAACTCCAGGTGAATTAGCTGAAATTTCTCTCCAAGATCTGCCAATCGCACAAACCAAAGCTGTCGACAGCTCCCTTTCCGACAACTTCCAACCCAAGTCCAACATATTGCTCACGTCTTCCTCTCCTGTTTCCTCTCTTTCCTTCTCCTTCTCCAGCTTCTCCCCCTTTTCTTCTCTAATATTATTCTTCTCTTCTGCTGTTGCCATTTATTTGTTGCTGGAGCATTTCAATTAATACTATATCAAACTTGGTATCAAAATTGAACTTGGGCAATATTTCTTCATCCATTACGTACACACAACCAATACTCGCTGATATAATTTCACTCCCACTACCGTAATTTGAAAAATAACCAATTTCACCACAAATCGACAATTACTCCTATTATCCATAATTAATCTGTCACTACATTATGCCACCATACAACCATCCACACAGTTAACTCACCACATACGAACTACCAATTACATACTTTTACCTACAGCCCAATCTTCAAACTCGAGCCCTTTGTGGCAAAAGCCAACCGTCGACACCTAATAAACCACAACACATAGAAAAAAATCGTGACCATACAATTAGAGAACACCAACTACCTTAACACCACCCCACATGAAATTATTGCATCTGCTTCTTGCCACCAAGCGACAGCAAACCATGCTATTGTGGTGGTGGTGGTGGAGGAGGCGTAAGGAAGGGGAGGTGAAGAGAATTGAGAAAGAGTTTTATTTGTTATTTTTAATATTTGAATAATTTATTTGGACTAATTTGCACTTTTAAAAAGTTTGGGCTTATAGTTGCAATTTATCCTTTATTTTTTGTTTTATTTAAATAGGAGGGTATATTGGTCATTTTACATTAAAAATGGGTGAAAATGACTTCCATCGCAAAGAAAGGTGAAAGGTACGGGCAAAAATACCAAAAAATGAAATGTAAGAACATTTTCTATGATAAATTTGAAAGGTAGGGACGTTTTTTGTCAATTACCCATATAATAAATATTATTACATACCCTTTTTAACAAAATTTATTGTTCTTAAACTTTTAATTACTTGAGGAAACGATGTTTCACAAATATTGCATTTTTTTTTAAAATTTGATTGTAAGAAAAAAAAATGATGACAACCAAGATGTTTTCCGGGCTCAGTATACCGATCTCTGCCTTATCAACACCCAAAGAGACAACAAAGAAGGTATTTTGTAGCCACAAACAAAGGCTAAAAAATGAATGAGAAGAACTAAGAGGACAGCCGCAGCGGAAGCACAAAGAAAAAGAGCCGTAGTCGGTTCTTTCTCAAAGACTGAACAACACACACGTTAATGACAAGGTCAAAGAAGGGCAAGATATATAGGTTAAGTTAGAGCATAGTAATGGGCTCCAATACAAATATGGTAAGTGGGCCAAGTATAATAAGCCATCCAATGAGTGAAGAATCGGACCATGAGCAACTCTAATTAATTAGACTGCTTCCAATGACCCCCAAGTAATTTTAGGGTCGGATCGTCAATTTTAGGTGTCGATATTTAATTAAGTCATCTAGACAATGCCGACTAAAGAATTCCAGCGAGTAACATCATAGTCCGTATTTATTGGATACTAAAACCCAACAGTGATCATCTATTTTTCATTATCTGGTTACAAAAGGCTGGTGATTTCATTTTATCCACACCTTTTATTAATGTTTTAACTTACAAAATGAAATTCACAAACTTTCATCGACTATATTAACTGAAAAATCTCATCAAACAGAGTTGGCTCTCAAGATGAAACCGGCCAGAATCTTGTGCTAAGATTAACCTCCTAATTGTTAAAATAAAAAATTCTTGTGCTCAATAAAATATTTCTTGCAAGGATCATAATATACCTATGCGAAGCTTAACTACTGGAAAATTTTGTTATGTGTCCAACTGATCAAGGCATATATAGGACAGTTTCAAAATCGTCAGTTCAAATGTTCGTAAAATCAAACCATTCCCAGTCCCATGAGCAAGGTTCATTTTCTTCAACAGCCATATCCCAGTTATTAGCAATATGATATGAGGAATTATCGAATAAGTGATTTGTTGCGTCTGCTAATGGATGATTTTGTTGAGATGTTGTTACCACATTTTGGTGGTGCGCCGCCACTAATTGGTGGCCTTCAACCACTTCATCTGGTGGCGGCGGCCTTCTGTCAAATGCCCTCACGCCTTTTGTTTTTCTGTAGACTCGGCATAAACTGAATTCTTCCCGTAACTGCATGAAATTGGAAACCAGAGAGAAGATAGCAAATTAGTGCCACTATGAAAAAGATCAGAATCATATATGCTTTTTTAATGAATATTATTACTATTAGAACTATTTCAGGGCATAGGCTCGGAGGAAAAGAAGCACTATATTAAAGCTTATCCCGATTTCTTGAACAAAAGACATCATACAAAGATTATAAACATAAAATATGATCTAGTTAATTATTAGGGTTTAGTCCATTTTCTATTTCTTTTTGACAATTTAAGATTTTCACAATGAAATGGATCAACAAATGCATGAATACCCGAATTACACCTTTTGCATAATTAAGGAATACAATTCTAATTTCTAATTAGACCTGTGGATTTGCAGCAGTTGAAGAGGAAGATTCAGAAAATTCAATCAATTTATACTCATTCATCTTCCACACAGTCTTTCTTCCATGTCGAGCTCTTCCTGCATAGAAAACCATTGTTTTGTTCTTACCAATTATACGATCTTGTGAAGAATATACAAAACAAGGAGAGCCAGTTGCTTTCCAGTATCCTTGTTCCGTGAGCCGGTTAGGTCTTCCTCCACGGGCTACCCTTTCTTGCCTTGGAACGAAGAAAAACCATTGCTCTAGATCTCCACGACAACGCTCTCCTGCAAATTCTGGGTTTTTTTCCCCTAAACAAACATTAGTATATTATATATAGAATTCCTGCAGCAAAAGAAGAAATTCACATGATCCAAACGCCCCAATTTGCTGTGTGATCACGCGTCAACTAAACGTGAATCTCAACTTGTAATTTACTCATTTTGAACTAAAAGAGAACAAAATAAGTCCAAATGCTGAACATATATATCCTAAAAGTGTAGAACAATTCAGATGATCTTGATTTTGGTTTTAGCCTTAAAAACTAAACAGACATAATCCATGTTTGGCAAAGCTTAAATTTTAATTCAAACTCATCAAACATACTTTTTGTCCATGTGCAAATAAACTTAAGGACAGAAAACAAGAAGTTCGAGTATTTAACCGTCAAGCAGTATTAATTAATTAACCTTTGGTAGCAAAGAAAAAATAATAATGGATAAAAACAAGAATTGAATTAATATAAATTATTTACGTGGAAGATCCCATGGACTGTAATCATAAATATGAAGAGTCGGTATAACCCTGTCGATGTCCACTACTCTTGTGCCTTGCAGCTTATTACGCAGATAGAAAGAAACCAATTCTTCCTCTGCGGGGTAGAACCTAAAACCTGGTGCCAACTGATCATCCATTGCTTGTTTCAACTCTCTCTCTCTCTCTCTCTCTCACGACTCAGTACTGGGTTTTGAGTGGACGAGTTAAACTCATTTTTTCCTGTGTGTATATATAAAGAGAGAATTGTGATGGATGTTTAGGAGCAGCAGCAGATTGAGATGGGGGAGAAAATATGGGAGCGATGATTGGTGTTCTTGGAAATTTCGACCTTGCACACAAGACAAAGGAAAATAATCTGTGTTCCCATTTTATTTTTCAACACCATGAACACCGTTAGAATCGGTCAATTTTCATGCATTTTTCTTATATGGTTCATTCATTTCCTCGTCAATTCCACGCAAAAGAGTCTTGTTTGAGCTTTTTTTTTTTTTTTTTTTAAATGTATTTTGTAATAGTGTTATGATAAAGAATGTGTGATTAAAAATAAGGAAAAAAGTTTTGAATTTACGTGTAATATTATTTTATTGAAAAATTTGTGATTAAAATGAGACAAATTTTAAACTCATTCATCTTGCATTGAACTAGGAAAAGATAAAAGAGTCATGGAAAATCCAATCCTATGTCAAAATTAATTATATTAACTAAATGCAATCTATAACTAACAAGTTCATCAAATTTCATCTAAAATTTCTAAGGAACAAATTTTAGTATATTATATTTTTTCAATTATCCCAATCGAGCCAATCAAGTCAAACTAACTTTTTCTAAAACTCATTGTCACCCGCGTTAAATTCTTCCAATCACTTCCCTAACTTTGCGCGGTATAATAGTACTTAGGTGTATAATTACAATTTTATTTTAATCACCAACACGTCTTTAAACATTGCATATTGGCTCATTTTTTTGGAAGAGGAAGACTCCGACTACGCACATTTCTTCTATTTAACGTGGGTTCTACCTACCGGATAAGGTTTCCAACGTGAAAAGGCTTTGAAATTATTAGCAAAGAAAAGTTTTCAAGCAACGAGACAAATTTTGTAGTAAAAGTTGGGTGTCAAGCAGAAAGATGAAGTCAAGATGTGCTTTCTCGGCAGGTGAAGCAAGGTACATGCAGTATCCATAATGGGTCCTCTTTTCTCTTAATTCGTTGTCATTGCTCTTTAAGAATCTATTAGATGTTTTAATAAATGAAATATGTGATTAAAAGTTTTTTAATAAAAAATAGTTTTACCAAATTAGCTTTAAGTATAGTCTTGGGATTGTATCTTAACACAATTCAACTTTATTAACAAAAGTAGTTCAAACTCTTATTTATTAATCAATATTTTAATATTTAACCGATGTTGAATTTATCTCTTCACATCTCCAAATCCGAGTGCTTCCTTTGAGTCTGCATTTATTTGAGAGAGATTTTCCTAAGGAAAATAATTATGTGAAAATAATTTTTTAAGATTGTGTGATTCAAAATTATTTTTGTAAAAATCTCTCTCGGACAACTCTTTGTTGGATCGAAGTGCTATTTGAACTTAATGGACTTTGATATTATATTTAAACTTGGAATTCTACCTTTTAGAAGGTCAATTTTATTAAGAGGATTAGTTCAAACTTATGTATGATGGTTAATATTTTCATATTTAACCGATATGAAATTTATTCTTGATATACCCCACAAGACAGTGGCTTGTTTGAGTACATCCAATTTTGATATCTGTGTGCTCATTTGAGTTTTAGTTCAATTCGTTCCGACATAAACTAAAATGAGCATACTGATTTTAAAATTAAACAAGCAAACATCTTGCAACATGTTATAAATCTCACATTGAATAGTGAGTTGAGATTTGTTCTTCACCAATGATTTATTCACACATCATTTTACACCTATTTTTAACCACAAGTGACGATAAGAGAAAATTGGACATGTTAATTTAAAGTGATGTGTCAATAAATTACTAGGCAAACGGTAAATTAGACAACCAATTTTGAATAGCAGATCTCAACTCTTGATTAGCCAACGCGTGATAATTTGAGTTACTCTTCTTTAAAAAGTTAACTTTTTAATATGAAATTGTAATAGTAGACTCATAATAGAAAGCAATACTATGGTACAATTGATTTTACTTGATTATGTTCTTTGAGAGTAACTTTGATGAGAACATCAATAATAATGTGTTGCTTTAGGAGCAACAATATTTTTTAATAGACAGATATATGGGTACCAAATTCGTAAGCTAGATAATTAATCGAACAATGAGCAAAAAGAAGATAATTAGCTAGGAGAAAAGATGAGACATGCACATGTAAATATTGGTTTAAATTATGATACGCATTCAATTGAAAAAGTAGATATATTAACACAAAATTTGCCTTTTTCCCAATGACTTGAATTCACTTGATTTCATAATTGATTTAATGCAAATAGATATTCATATAGAATAAAAACATAATCACTATATATGTTTACAATAAAATAATCATTGCTTCTTCAAAAGCAATAAATCAATATTTTTCTGAAATATTAAAACTGTAATATGATGTTTTTTTGGGATAAGTAATATTTCCTTGGAATATTAGAATAATATAATTTTTTTTTTAAAATCTACATAATATTGTTTAGGAATATTAATGAAATTGTAAATTGTATTTCTTCACGAAAGTACAATTACATATAAATTCTATTCAAGAATATAATATGAAAAAATATTATACTTTTTTCAAGAGTAATAATATAAAATTATTTTAATATATTGTATGTGTGAATTTGTACTTCTTCAGGAGTAACAAAATAATACAAATATCATATTTCTTTTCAAGCAATGCTATAATATTCTTCTTAAATATTGATTTAAATTGTTTCTTTTCAAGAACAATAATACAATATTCTAATTATTCTTTCAGAATATTGATTTAGATTATTTCTTTCCAAGAACAATAATAAATAATAAAACATACTGAAATATTGAACGAAAAAATTACATTCATATAATTATTTATTATCATTAATTGGTATAGTCGAATCGATATAATCAGATCAAATAACATTACCTCTTTGTCATACAATTTAAAGTTATAATACTAACAATTTCTTTGAGTAGATTAAAAGAGTTTCCTTGTAAATTCAATTGACTAAAACTTCTTATCTTTCTTTGATTGAAGGAAAAAAAAAATCTATAAACGATAGTATTCTCTAGAAATTTGTTAATACGAACTTATCGTAATTTATGCCAATTTGGTCTTTGTGGTCTTACAATTATCCATTTATTCATATGAGGGCCTTTTTTCCTATTTGACTCTTTCATGTAAACATGTTCCTAGGGTACTGTGAATAGCTTAAGAATGGTCAAATTTATATCTCGATATGTAACATTTTCAAGAACTTTCATCTCTCTTCTATGTACTTTCCTTGCCCATTATGACATTCTCCACTAGTGGCCGCTAGTTTTGCATGGAAATTGGAATTTTAGATTCGCATCGTGCGTTATATGAATATTTGGTCCCATGAATGTGACACAGTGTGAACCTTTTTGTGAGTTGGTCGTTTGAATACTTCAAAAATCAGCCCACAAAACCGGGACCAGGGCTGTAGATACAATGCATTTGTTTCTATATAATTTCTTTAGTCAATATTATTTTTAATTCCTTTTCTTTTGTTAGTAACTTGAAAGCAAATCTCATGCTTTATTTTTGTGGCGTAAGATGGAAATGTTCAAACTTTAGCTATTTAGGACTTGTTCAGTAGTGATTTTGAGAATCGATTTTTTGACGAAAAGTGGGTCTTATCTGTGAGAGAATAAATCAAAAATGATGACTAGAATAATGAAATAATAAAAAAAAAATTGATTTTTTTGTAAGAAAAATCAATACCAAACATGTACATAATGTTGAACAATTAGGAAACAGCTGTCAAAGATACGAAGGATTAAAGATTATGTTATGTATAAGTATATCTCGTCAACTTTACGTGTACAAAAACTAGTTCGTGCATCACATGTGAGAACAATTTTCTGACAACGTTAATGAAATTATGGAAAAGAAGTAATTATGGAAATGGAACTTAATGATGAAAATTGAAAACTTTGATTTGTATGATTGAATTGAATTTTCATATAGGTACAAAGGTTTGGGGGGTGATTTCACAACCCTCCAAATAAAATTAAAATTGTGGTTTGGAAGATTTGGAACCTTGTCCCCTGTATAAAAAGTAGAAACTTGACCATTACCATATAAACAAATTAAAAATCATGCTCAATATATATTTTTTAAATATATATTATTTTCAAATTTAAATAAATAAATAGCTGTAGAAACTTGTGGGGCCCAGACCCCCTTGGCTTCACAGCCCCTTTATAGTCCACTGTAAATAATGAATAATGCCTAATGTTCACAGGGCCTGTACAGGCCCCTCACATACTGGGAGAGGGGGAGGGGGATGGGGGTGGGTGATTATTTGAAAAAAAATAAAAAATTACCCCACCCCCTATAATGTGTGTGGCTTGTACAGGCCTTGTGAAACAGGGTGGCGGCAAAATTGGTAAATAATTTAGAAGACATAACATTTTGTTAAATGCAGATGACGGATAGCCATCGACATTCGTAACATGCTCAAATAAATTACTGCTCGTTCATGTTCAAATTCATTTATACACTGAGGTAATTGCAAAAAATTCAAAAAACACGACAATTTCAGAAATAAATAAAACAAAATTGACATAACAATATATTCTATAACATTTTACATAATCATTTTAACAAAATTTATTGTTCTTCAACTTTTAATTATTAGAAGCAATGATGTTTTATTATATTATTTTTTATGATTTTTTTAAAGGTCAAGCCTTACAGCTCGATGTACAACTACCTCACAAGAGGACGGGCCCGCACATTAATTAGGCGTAGGCCCCTCGTGTACACCGGGTTGGTGTACAAGGGGTGAAATCTTTTTTTTTTTTTTAAATATATGGTATTTGGTTATAAAAAATAATTAAAATTTATTTTTAATTACATATTTTATTTCTTTTACAACGTTTATCAGCTTTTTAGACCTCGAAATGGGATCCTTGTTGTGTAAAAAGTGATTTGTTTGTAGCTTTTGCAAGTCAGACAATAAATAACAAAATGAATAGCATAAGTTAAAAACAAACAAAATAAGAAATTGTGAGTTCGTTGTTCTAAAGTCGTGTGGCATTTTCTTCGCGTCGATACTTTCTGCACTGCAAGACTCCAAGATAAAATTAATATAGTTCACAATCGATTCTCCTATTATGAGCTTGATGACAATGATAGAAATAACAAGCATTATATCAATTTGTCAAAGCTATAAGCTTATATTATGAAATGCGTTAAAGAGTCTTTTATCAAGTTGTATCAAACAATGAAATAAAGGTTATGCTATATGTATATTATGGTGTCCATAATGTGCAAGTGGTATAGTTGAGAAATAGTTTTCAACCCTTTAATAATAGAATTTCACATGTACATTGTGGACATTTTTATGAATACTATAATATACATGTAGAATTATCCGAATAAATCCACCCTTTGACCGTGGGAAATTCAACCCTCCATTGATGAATTAAATCATTCCATTATATTTTACACAATGAACTTAAGATTTTAAATTTTCTACTAAATCCAAAATTAAACTCAAAATTGAGAATTAAAATAAAGAAAAACTGAAAAATTAAAATTAACTTTAATTGTGAAAGTTTAAAACTTTCTATGTCACAACACTTTTACCAATTTTATTTACTAAAAATCTACATCAAACATAGCGCGCTTGAAAACGCAACCAGCCAGAATCTCGTGCTAAGATTAACCTCCTCATTGTTAAAAATATTAAAAATTCTTGATCCTCAACAAAACATTTCTTGCAAGGATCATAATATCCTTTTAAGGATCAACGTACATATAATACTGCTGCAAAACCCGACTGTTCAAAAGTTTGTAAAATCAAACCATTCCAAGTCCCATGAGCCAGGTTCATTTTCGTCAACAGCCATATCACAGTTGTCGTTAGCAATACGGAGAACTTCTGATAATGAATTATCAAATGAGTAATTAGTTGCATCTGCTACTGGATGGTTTTGTTGAGATGTTGTTGCCACATTTTGGTGGTGCGCCGCCACTAATTGGTGGCCTTCAACCACTTCATCTGGTGGCGGTGGCCTTCTTTCAAAGGCCCTCAAGCTATTCGTTTTTCTGTAGACTCGACATAAGCTGAGCTCTTCCCATAACTGCATGAAATTGGAAACCAGAGAAAATATAACAAATTAGTGGCACTATGAAAAAGATCAAAATCATATATACCTTTTCTCATGCATTTTATTACTATTAGAACGATCCTTAGGCTCAGAGGAGAAGCAGCACTAATTAAAGTTGGATTTTGCTATTTGTACATCAAAATAGTATATAAACGGTAATCGACAATGATGTGAAGGAAAAAAATTAGGAGCTTGTTTGGTACAGCTAAAAAGCCAATTAAAATTAATTTTTTGACTGTTATTTTACTATTACAGTCGTCATTTTTAAATTCTTCTCTTACAAGTAGGACCAACTTTATCTCTAACGGTCAAAAAATCAATTATCAAAATCTCTACCAAACAAGCACTAGGTGAAAAAGTTGATTGCGTTCTATATTGACAAATGGTAGAGTGTCATGTAGTATTATGTAATCCATTCTATAAATCTTGATGTATATGTAGCAAGATATATTAAAGTTTATCAGGATGTCTTGAACAAAAGAAAGATTTTACAAAAACACGATAAAGTTAAATATAGGGTTTAGGCCATTTTCCATTTCTTTTTGACATTTTTAAGATTCTCACAATAAAATGGTTAAACGGATGCTTAACCTTTATCCCTTTTAATAAAAATTACAGCTTTTGCATAATTAAGGAATACAGTTCTAATTTCTAATTAGACCTGTGGATTTGCAGCATTTGAATAGGAAGCTTCAGAAAATTCAAGCACTTTATATTCATTCATCTTCCATACAGTCTTCCTTCCATGTGGAGTTCTTCCTGCATAGAAAACCATTGATCTTTTCTTACCAATTACACGATCTCGTGAAGAATATACAAAACAAGGAGAGCCAGTTGCTTTCCAGTATCCTTGTTCCGTGAGCCGGTTAGGTCTTCCTCCACGGGCTACCCTTTCTTGCCTTGGAACAAAGAAAAACCATTGCTCTTGATCTCCATGACAACGCTCTCCGGCAAATTCTGGATTTTTTCCTTGAACAAACATTAGCATATCACATAGAATACCAGCAGTAAAAGAATAAGTTCACATGCTCCAAATTAAAGACCCAATTTGTTGTGTGGTTCCGCGTCAACCGAATATGATTCTCAACTTGTAATTTACTCATTTTGAATTACAAGAGAACCAAACAAGTCCATATATATCTTCAAGTGGAGAACAATTTGGATGATCTTGATTTTGGTTATAGCCTTAGAAACTAAACAGACATAGTGCATGTTTGATAAAGCTTAAATTTGAGTTAAAATTCGTTAAACATACTTTTTATATACCTGTGAATAAACTTAATTAAGAAATGAAAAGGAGAAGAAGTTCATGTATTTAACCGTCAAACAGTATTAATTAATTAACCTTTGGTAGCAAAAGAAAAAAATAATGCATAAAAACTAGAATCGAAACAATATAAATTACTTACGTGGAAGATCCCATGGACTGTAATCATAAATATGGAGAGTTGGTATAACCCGGTCGATATCCACTACTCTTGTGCCTTGTAGCTTATTACGCAGATAGAAAGAAACCAATTCTTCCTCTGTGGGGTAGAACCTAAAACCTGGTGCCAACTGATCATCCATTGTTTGTTGCAACTCTCCCTCCCTCCCTCCCTCTCTCAACTCACTGACTCAGTACTGGGTTTTGAGTGGACGAGTTAAACTCGTTTTTTCCTGTGGGTATAAGAGAGAATTGTGATGGAGGTTAAGGGGCAGCAGCAGATTAAGATGGGGGAGAAAACATGGAAGTGATGATTGGTGTTCTTGGAAATTTCGACCCGCCAACAAGAGAAGGAAATAAATTGTGTTCCCATTTTACTTTTCAACCAATTATCATTTCTCTTACGGTTCAGTCAATTTTCTCATTAATTCCACCGCAAATGATGAAAAAAATTATAACTAAAAGTAGATATAAATAGTATGAATGATTTTTAAACTCATCCATCGTGCTTTGAGCTAGAAAAAGATAAAAAGTAATGGAAAATTCAATCGTATGTCAAAATTTATTATATTAAATAAATGCATTCCATATCTATAACTATAAAGTTCGTCAATTTTTTATTAGTTTTTTTATTTTTTTAAATTATCCCAATTGAGCTGATCAAGTTGAACTAAGAACCCGTTTAATTGCACGAAATTTTCCATGTAACTTGGAATTCGAATTCCAATTTTCACTTTTGGCCTGTTTGATTGACAAAATTTTTCAGAAAATTGATTTTCCGTGAATTTTTAGGTACAACACCTTAAAGCGTGATTTTCCACATTTTATTTTCCTAAGGGGTAGATGGTGTTTTCCACCTTTCTTTTTTTTTTTTTGGCTTTTTGTTTTTTTTACATTGTTGGCAATGAGAACAAATTTTAGGAACAATTGTAAAAGAAGATATTCCTGAAATTAACAATTTTCATGTAAAATAAAGTCAAACGAATACCAAAATATAGATATTCTTTTATCTTTTTTTTTTCCTTTTTTTTTTGTTGGCGATGGAAACAAATTCTAGGAACAATGGTAGAAGTGGATATCCCTTAAATTGACAATTTTCATATAAAACAAAGTCAAACGAATACCAAAAAACACTTTTACTTCAACATTTTTCACGTGGAAAATTATATCAATCAAACACAATAATTTACAATTCCCAGAAAAATAATTTCTAAGTAATTCAATTCCCTGAAATTCATTTTCTTTCCATCCAAATTCCATTTTCGCAATCAAACAGACCCTAACTTTTTTTAAATTCATTGTCACCCATGTTAAATTCTCCAATCTTGTTACAGTGATAAACTCAATGACAGATAGGACACGTGTCAATACATAATTAGACAATTTGAAAAAAAAATACAACGTCCCATCATTATTTGTCACATCACCCTGTCACTTCCATCATTGTCATTAAACCTGTCCAAGTATCATTGTTCTAAATTCTCCCAATCACTTCCCTAAATTTGCGGGATATAATAGTACTTGGGTATACTATATGTCTTTAAACGTGACTTACTTTTTATGGAAGATGAAGATTCGGATTGCATATATTTCTTCTATGTGACACGGGTTCTACCAACTTGATAATATTTCTAACGTGAAAAGGCTTTGAAATTATTAGCAAAGAAAAATTTTCAACCAACAAGACAAATTTTGTTGGAAAAAGATGGGTGTTAAGCATAAAGATGAAGTCAACAAAATGTGCTTGTTGATAAATAAAACGATTCAAGATAATATATATAACATGATATGAAGTATATGATCGTAAAAATTAAAATTAAAATTAAGACAAAAGGAAAAGAATTAATTGACAGAAGAACAAAGTATTTTATTCAATTGAATAATATGGAGAAAATAAATACAATAATTGTGTTTATACAATTATTCTATATTTCAGTAATACAAAACTTGTGAAAAGAATCAGTTTTTATAGGAGTGTATGCCAAACTTTAGAAATACCACAAAGATGGAAATAAGATAAAAAAAAAATAATGTGAAATAAATGAAACAATATTTTTTTCAATAAAACGCGTGGAATAAAGAAATAATATTTTCCCCAAAAATCTAATTTAATTTCGATAAAAAAAAAATTCAAGAATCTCCAACTGAAAAAATAAATTTAATTGCAATGAAAAATTCAAACTTTTCGACAAGAACTAAACTTTCTCCAACACAAACATATTCCTTCTCTTCCACGGTATCCAACACGGATACATTAACCCAGACACCGGGTTTTCCAAAATTCACATAGAATTAAAAATTACCAAACAGTGTCAAAGCGCACCTTGTAGCAGATTCAACTTCCATTATTTTCATAGAAGGCCTGGCTAGTCTCAACACCTTCAAAATGCTAAAAGCATATGTAATCGAATCGGCATCCACTTACTTGTTGACATATAATCGACTTCATCCTTAATGTTTTGATAATAACAAACAAGATTAATTTTGTATCTAACAAATTCTTTTGAGTAATGATAGTTCAATATTAAAATCAATCAAGTATTATCAGACTTCAAATGAAGATCAAAGTGGAAGCTAAGCATTAAGTCAAATTATTCGAGATAAAAAAACTTAAAAGATAAATGCCAAGAAAGATCAAGATCAAGAGCACAAGAGACGACATCAAAGAAATATCAAGATGAGAAGTTTAAGAGACAAACCTCGAAGCAAAGACTTGATTTTTTAAGCAAAATGTAAAGGTACTAATACTTCGATATTTGGCAATGAATAGTTAAACTCAAAGACTTTTTATGTAATAAAAACAATTTTTGTGCGTTAAAAGTCATTCAAATGCAACGTTTTTGATCAAATATAAAAATGACTTTGAAAAGTAATATTTGAACTTTAAAAAATATTTTTATCATCAAAAATTAGTTAAAAATATTTTCCAAAAGTCCATGCACTTCAAAACTTTCAAATTGGAACAAACGGGGCTAAAACGTAAAAAGACTGCGCTGCCGGGGCGGTCAACTGCCAGAGAAGTAATCAACCGGCCGTAGGAAGCAATCAATCGGACCCTCTCTAGCAGTCAAAAATTTGACCGTTCTAACCTTTGATTTTTGCTGTATAAATGACTATATTGATCTTCCAGACAAAACGCAATTGACCGGACTTTTCTTCAGCAAATACAGATTTTATTTTATTTTTACATTTTTGAACTCTATAAATATCTTCACTCTTTTCATTCTTCACAAGATTTTCAAGTGTATCAAAGCGAGATATTTTTGTTTTAAGAATTCCTAGAGCTTTCCTTTACGTACATTCGTTTTATTTATTTCTTTGTATCAAAACTTTTATTGATTTAAACTCTTTAATCATCATCTTCATCAATGTTTTTTATCTCACTTTTTCGACTTAACTTATTTCTATAATTCATAGAAGACAAAAATTTTGAAGAAAAGTTTTGAACTTACATTGTATCATTTCTACTACTTCATATTGAAAATTTTGATTAAGTCAAACTTGCAAATCATCATATTCATCAAAGTTTCACATCTCTTTCTTCGTAATTAATGTATTATAAACATTCATTAAAAGAGGAAGATGTCTTGAGAAGATTTTTAAATTTAAATTGAATTTATTTCTTCTTCATCTTCTCATTGAACCACTTTGATTGATTAAATCTAATTTTTAATTATCATATCCGTGAAAGATTTTCATCTAACATTTGAGCTATCATTTATTGTTATTCATTGAAGTGTTAGCCTCTTTTAAGTAATTAAACTTATTTGTATTATTTATCAAGATAGCATTTGATTGTAAAATCACTTTGATAAAGTGTGGGTCGTGTTGAGGTCCCGAAATGCTAAACATTGTGTAAGGATCGGTGCTCCTTATTGTATGTCACTATATGGGTCATATTGAGGTCCCATAAAACTCAATAGTGTGGGTCGTGTTGATGTCCCATATAGCTTAACTTTGTAAAGGATCGGTGCTCCTCGTTTGTAAATCACCGGAAACGTTGTAAAGGGTTGGATTGCATCATAAGTCAATCAACATAGTGAAAAGGCCTTGCTCGTGCTGGAGAGTTTGGTAATGGAGAACGTAGATCATTGCTTTGGATCGACCCTCCGCATTATATTGTTTGCGCCATTTCTTCCTTTTACTTATTACTTTTATACTTGTGCTTATTATTTGAATCTATCAATTTAGTCTTTACTTGCCTCTCATTTGTGCTTATTTGTTTAACATATTTGCTATCATATTGGTTTATATCTAGAATTAATTTTCAAAAAGTTCTAAAAATCAATTCACCCCCTCTTAGTTAGTCATTCTTGGGCTTTCAGTACATATCTCCAATGAATCTATCCCTAGCAGTTAAATACGGTGGAACCGCAGGTAATGGTGCAAAGCGAAATTTCTCATATTGTCCAAATTCGAATGAGTAGTATTCTTCAATATGGACCCTGAATCAAATTCAAAAGGCGTGGTACCAAACTGAATCTCTACCACGGTACTAAATATGTGCTGACTTTTCCCCACAAATTCTTCGTGACCTTATAAGATGTATAATTGGGACCATTTCCCCTCTTCCAATATAACACATTTTCATACCTTCAAGACTTCATCTTCTCCAGAGAATTTGTATCCTTTTGAATCAAAAGTATTCAATGAAATGAGATTATTCTTCAAGTTTGAAATATGTCGAACGTGATTTGAGTGTTCTTTCCATCTTCTAGTTTCAATCCGACTCAACCAATATCAGCTACCCGATAAGGATCGTTGTTATCCATAACAATGACACCTTACATCACCGTTTCATATGTTTTAAACAAATCTCGTTTGAGACACATATGAAACGCATAAGTTGTATCTAAAATCCACTCCTCGTCAGGTTTGAGTTCTATGAAAAAAATCATCAAAACATCTCCATAACTCAAATAGTTCTCGACCATGTTGCTCTCATCTGAAGTATTTGATTGCTTCTCATGATTTGCAGTAAATTTACCTTTGTTCAGCAATTTGTAGCAATCCCTCTAAATGTGTGATTTATTCTTGCAATAATAACAAATAAGATTACTTAAATTTGACCTTAATTTACTCCTTCTCCATCACCATGAACAACAAGGCCTTCTCCATCTTTGGCTTTATATCCAACCAGATACTTCATCTTCTCATTTGAAAATAAGGCATCACACTCATATTCAGTGGTGAAAGTATTACTATTATACACGATTGTGTCTCTAAACGAAGTGGCCAACGAACATAAAATGATTAAGGCCAAATCTTCTTCATTATACTTTACCTCTAAAGTCTTCAAATCAACGACGATTTCCTTGAACACAGTCAGATGATTTTTCAAATATCCGTCTTCTACCATATGATGAGAATATAACCTCTGTTTTAGATGTAATTTGCTTGTCAAACTTTTTGTTATGCATAATTGCTCCAACTTCAACCACAACGTAGCTATTGTTTTTTCGTAATATTGTTAGAAAGATGAAAATCAATTTGTGAAAATGACTTTCGATCTTTCTGTTGTTTCTCTTTCGTCATCTAAGTTGTTGCCATTTTATCAAACTCCAACAATGCATCATCTAAATTTATCTGCATGAGTACAACTCGCATCTTCACTTGTCACAATGATGATCTTTTATTCCTATCCAAGAGTGAAATTCCATGCTTCATGGTTGCCATCAATAACAAAAACCTCGAACGAATCACAACTAATAGCTCTGATTCTACTTGTTGGGAAATAAAACGGATCGCAATAATATATATAAGACGATATAAAGTATATGATTGTGAACAAATAATAAGACAAAAGGTAATAATTAATTGGCTGAGGAATGGAGTATTATATTTGTTGTAAAGTAATCCAAATTTAAGTGGGTATTGAAGTCCTAGTTGAAGTGGTTTTGAAGAGATCAAAATTATCGACTAGGAAAAAAAGTCACCGCATTTTCGCTAACTGGACGCTAAAGTGACACCGACAAATTTTCAACAGAAAGTTATTGCTCGCCTGTCGCTCGAGTGATAGGGTTTCCCGAGTTTCGCATTTTAAAGTGTTTAACTTGGTTTCTAGGAATTTATATATAAGACGCGACTTGTATTATTCTCATAACATTCATAGAACATCTTGAGAGCTTTAGATCTTAATTAAGAGTATTGAATTCTTGTTATAAACATAATTACTATTAATTATGGTGGATTTCTCCTCCCGTGCTCGTGAATTTTCTCGTCTTGGGTTTCTACGTAAATCTTAGTATTTTTTATTTTGGTCTTATTTAGTTCATTATTGTCACAAATTTCCAATCAAATTCGTAACAATATTCAATTGACTAATATGAAGAAAATAAATAAAATAACTGTGCCTACACAATTATTCTATATCCGAAATCGTTTCCTAAGTTCCTCAATATCCCTAAAGGTCTTTCCAACTTTAAATTGGATGGATACGCATATCTTTTGTAACAATGAAATCGAGGACTAGATCTTCTGAAGAGGGATAATAATCCTTATCAGAATCTAATTCCTCAATTGCTAATTCTTCTTCTTATTCTGTGACAGTGGTATTATTCCCCAAAGCAGTGCACTCGGATGCTTTGTCATCAATCTTGAAGTCATCACCAATTTCGTTATTAGAATCATTAAAACCCCTATAACGACCCGAGTCTCTCTACCCAAGTCATTAGCTTACGTACTGTCCGCTTTGGATGGGCCTTGCGCCCACTTATTCCTCACGGCTTTCTATCGCGTTCCCTAGGATTCGAACTCATAACATTTTCCTTAAGTAAGATTTAAGTTGAATCCTGGTACCAATTGATCCGTGAAGAGTAAGTGGGCACAAGGCCCACCCAAAGCGAACAGTACGTAAGCAGAGACCCGAGTTGTTAAAAAAAAGCCCTTTTTTGTAATGACTCAAACTTCTACGCTCAAACCATTATATCATATTTTTAAAGACTTAATGGTCTGCATAGAAAAAAAAAAA